CAGTGGAACGAAGTACGGTCGCGGCCGCCCAGTGCCTCCAGCACCAGCAGCGACAGCACTAGCACCCCCAGGGCCAACCCCTCCAGCTCCAGGTTCTCCAGCTCCAACTCCAGCAGCACCACCAGCTCCAGCTCCAGTGCCACCAGCTCCAACGCCTGCAGCACCTCCAGCTCCAGCAGCGCCAGTACCCCCAGCAGCTCCAGCTCCAGCTCCTCCAGCTCCAACGCCTGCAGCACCTCCAGCTCCAGGAGCTCCAGTACCTCCAGTATGAGCACCTCCGAGACCAACAGCTCTAGTACCTCCAGCAGCTGCAGCTCCAGCTACTCCAGCTCCAGCGCCTGCAGCACCTCCAGCTCCAGCAGCTCCAGTACCTCCAGTACGAGCACCTTCGGGACCAGCGGCTCCTGCACCTCCAGCAGCTCCAGTTCTAGCGCCTCCAGCAGCTCTAGCTCCAGCAGCTCCAGCACCTGCAGCACGAGCACCTCCGGGACCAGCGGCTCCAGAACCTCCAGCAGCTCCAGCTCCAGCGCCTCCAGCAGCTCCAGCTCCAGCAGCTCCAGCACCTGCAGCAACACCAGCTCCAGCAGCTCCAGCAGCTCCAGTACCTCCATTACGAGCACCTCCGGGACCAGCGGCTCCAGCACCTCCAGCACCTCCAAGACCAGCAGCTCCAGGGCCTCCAGTGGCAGGCCCCCCAGCTCCAGCCGCGCCACGCTGAAGACTCCAGCGCCGAGCAAACCACTCGCGCAGCTGCGGTGGAGAGAGAGGCTCCCGCCGGGACGAGGCACCCAGAGAACCTCCAGTACCTCCAGCACCTCCAGGACCAGCAGCTCCAGCACCTCCGGTACCTCCAGCACCAGCGCATCCAACTCCAGGGTCTCCAGCGGCAGGCCCCCTAGCTCTAGCAGCGTCACTTCGAAGGCTCCAGCGCCGAGCAAACCACTCGCGCAGCTGCGATGGAGAGAGAGTCTCCCGCCGTGATGAGGCACCTGGAGAACCTGCAGTAGACAAAGTACCTCCAGGCGCAACACGCTCAGGCTCAGCACTCCCAAGCTCAGCACCCCCAGGCTCCGCACGCTCAGGCTCGGCAACCCCAGGCTCAGCATCCCAAAGCTCCGCACGCTCAGGCTCAGCACCCCCCGGCTCCGCACGCTGAGGCTCAGCACTCCCAGACGCAGCACCCCTAGCAGCACCACACCCAGCAGCACCAGAGTCGACAGCGACCTCGACAGGCTCGACAGGGTCTACCTGAGACACACCTGAGGGAGCAGGACCCTGAGGGGGAAGGGGGTCTACCAGAGGAGGACCTGATGCGAGGAAGAGCGGCGGGGGGGGGGAGAGGGGCAGTGCGGTAGGGGAAGAGACGGTAAAAGGGAACCGACTCGTCAAACGTGACGTCCTGAGAGGGCAGGACACGGCGCAAGGTGGGGTGGTAAAACTTCCAGCCAGGCGCGTCAGGGGGAAAGCCAAGGAAGACGCAGGGAATGGCGCGGGAGGAGAGCTTGTCCGCGGACGTATCGCGGACAAAGGGACGAGAGCCCCAGACCCGGAACACCGACGCATCGCCAACCTTCCCCGTCCAAGGCAGTGTAGGCAAGGTCTCCGGCAAGGAGACACGGGGCCAGAGATTGAGCTGATGCGCAGCGTACCGGACCGCAAACGGCCATAGAAAGTGGGGGGCAGCCGCATGGATCATGGAGATACGAGCGACCTCCATGACTAAGCCAATGTGGTGCTCAGCAACCCCATTCTGCTGCGGAGAGGCCGGAAACGTGAACGACTGGAGAATGCCCTCCCCACGACAAAAGTCCCGCAAGAGGTCGGAGGAAAACTCACCACCTCTGTCAGAGTGCAGACGCAAGACTGGAAGGTCCGCGCGGAACCGCTCGCGGAGCTGGAGACATACAGCGCGGATCCAAGGGATCATAACATCAGGGACCTCCCTCTTGCTGCGCAAGGGGAAGACCGTGGTGTAACGCGAATAGTCGTCAACAACCAGCAGAAAGTGGCGCTCGCGGCCCTGTCCACGGACGCGGGCTGGGCCCCACACGTCCATGTGGAGAGTCTGCAGGGGAGCAGTCGTCGGGGGAAACGAGGAGGAGTGAGGAGCGGCACGCTGCCGCCCCTCGACACAGGGAAGGCAGGGAGGGGCAGGCGAGGGTGGGAGGGGAGGCAGAGACCTGGGAAGACCAGAGACAAGGAGACGGGAGTGCATGCCACGGAGGCGTGGCACGGAGGGGTGACCAAGTCGGTGGTGCCAAAGGAGCGTCTGGTGCGACAGGGCGCGACACGAGCAGGGTGCCGCTAGCTGACCTGACGCAGACGCAGACGCAGCTACCTGGGGAGGCTCAGGTCAGTGTGTACAGACTCGACCCAGGCCGACGGGTGAACGTGGCCAGGTGACGGCCAGCCCGGGAGCACGTACAGATCGCCACACGCTGTCCACCAGGGATGAAGGTATCAACCCATTCATCCTGAAGGACGGCGTTGCCCACCAAGTTTGTAGAGAACGAGGGGAGGTGAAGACCTGACAGTGAGCCAGACGGAACCGCCGGACAAGGGAGAACAGTGGAGGAACGTGCAAGAACTGGGCCCCCAGAGGGGTCAGCCAGTCTGACAGCAACAGGTGCAGGGAGAGGTGTGACTGTGAACTGTCGCGGAAGAAACAGCGGGAAGCACCTGAGTCAAGCGTGAAGGTGTGCAAGGCCTCAGCACACGCAGTACCAGAGAGAGCAGACTCACCAGCACCTAGAGCAGCAGACTCACTAGCACCTAGAACAGCAGCCTCTATACATGGGTCGGGCGGCACACACAGGTAACAGTCACCCTCAGCACTAACAGTCAATGCATACATGGCAGTAAGATAGCATCATAGTCAAGAGCAAAGATATCCACCCTCTGCCTAAGCAGCTCCAGCCAGCGGGGGAGCTCAGCCGCATCGCCAAACTCTGCACGCCAGGCGTCGCTTAGACAGGAGAAGCAGCGGGACTGTGTGTGACCAGCTGTCCCGCAAGTCTGACCAGCCCGATCACCTGTACGAATGACGTACAGGCAGCGAGCAGTTTTCCGAGACGCCCCACGCTGAGCGAACCACTCACGAAGCTGCTGGGGCGTAAGGGTCTCGCGCGGACGCCGCTGCAGCTGCATCTGGCCACCGCCAGAAACTCCCCACTGAACAGCTCCACGGCGACTGCCACTACGGCCGCCGCCACTACTCCAACTAGCGAACCACTCACGAAGCTGCTGGGGCGTAAAGGTCTTGCGCGGACGCCGCTGGAGCTGCATCTGGCCACCGCCAGAAACTCCCCACCGAACAGCTCCACCGAGGCTGCCACTACGGCCGCCGCCACCACTCCCACTGCTGCCACCACCGCCGCCACCACTCCCACCGCTACCTCGAAGAGACGTCATAGCGGGCACTAGGGTAGGTCGGGGCGGCGCACGGTCAGAGAAGGGCGGCGCGCGGCCAGAGCAGGGCGGCGCGCTGCAAGTAGGGCGGCGCGCGGGCAAGGGAGGGCGCGCGGGCAGGAAAGGGCAGCGCGCGGGCTGCAGAGGGCGGCGCGCGGGCTGCCAAGGCGAACGCGACGGGCCGGGGCAGGGCGGAGCGCGGGCAGCAGGGCGGCGCGCGGGCTACAGAGGGCGGCGCGCGGGCAGGCAGGGGCGGCGCGCGGACAGGCAGGGGCGGGGCGGACGGGAGACGCGGCGGACTGGGGCAGCCCGCACGGGCGATGCGACGGGCAGAGGCAGGGCGGACGGGCGACGCGACGGGCTGGGGCAGCCCGCACGAGCGACGCGACGGGCAGAGGCAGGGCGGACGGGCGACGCGACGGGCTGGGGCAGCCTGCACGAGCGACGCAACGGGCAGCAGGGGCGCACGGGCGGCGCGACGTGACTGGCAGCAGGGGCGCACGGCGCGACGGGGAGCAGGGGCGCGCGACGCGGCGGGCAGCGGGGGCGCACGGCGCGACGGGCAGCAGGGGCGCGCGACGCGACGGGCAGCAGGGGCGCGCGACGCGATGGGCAGGGCGTGCGCAGGGCGGCGCGACGCGGGGCAGGGCAGGGCGTGCGCGGGCAGCGCGACGCAGGGCAGGGCGTGCGCAGGGCGGCGCGACGCGGGGCAGGGCAGGGCATGCGCGGGCAGCGCAACGCAGGGCAGGGCGTGCGCGGGGCGGCGCAATGCAGGGCAGGGCAGAGCGCGCACTAGGCAGCGCAACGCAGGGTAGGGCAAGGCAGCGCGGCAGCCAGCAGGGCGGTGCGCGGGCGGGGTAACGCGACTGGTGGGGCAGCGCGACGAACACGGTAGGGCGCTACGGGCAGGGTAACGTGGTACGGGCAGGGAACGATTCGGTGGGCCCTAAAAAACGGTCCTAGGTCAGGACCTGCTCTGAAATCATGTCAGAATCACGAGCATGCAGGAGTACAAGTAGCAAACCCTAATTGGGTTGTACCCCATATGGGCTACCCCACTACAGCCTACACAACCTGCAGCATATAAGTTTGACAATTATTTTTATTATGGACTATTCCTTTTTTTTTTTAATGTGTCTATTGGGCTGACTCATTGTATGTGTGTCATCTTAGGACGCATTTCGCAAGTGTGTCGAACTGACTTCTGTTTAGGGTTTACGGAACGAATTGGACTTGGAAGTCCCAAAGTCACAAAAAAGTTAGTTCGAAAGAAGAAATCACTCGGGGTTTGACGGCCGCCGAAGGCGCCCTGTTGAACTTCATTTTCGTCTAGCTGTTATCCTCACGTGCTCGCACGTTTTTTTCCCTGGGGAGCTGGAAAACGAAACCCCACCTCACACCCGTCCAAACCGAAATCCCCCGCTCTCCATCCTTCACACTCTCTTCCTCCATCGATCTTGCCTGTATTTCTTCCCAATTCCTCGCAGTTAGCTAGTCCTAAGACGCCCTAGTGAAGCGCGTGTGACGTGCCTGAACAAGCTCCCCCGCCCGCGCTAGTGACAGACGTTATTTGGTAAGAACACCCTTTGAAAATGTTTAGTATCGTGATAGAGGTAGTATACGTGATGAAATTGCGTGAAATATGAGAAGCGCGCCTGTGAAAAAGCGCTGGCACCTATCTTGGTGGTGCCTAGGCGCTCGCCTAGAGCGCTGCCACCTAACGCCTAGGCTGCTGGCGCCTAGCGCGCCGTGGGCGCTTTAGGCGCTGGTGCAGTTGGGCGCTGGCGCCGTTGGCGCGGGTGCCTCAGGCGCTGGCGCGTGGGCGCTGGCCCCGTTGTCTTTGGCGCTTAAGGCGCTCGCGCCTTGGGCGCTCGCGCCGTTGGCGCTGGCGCTGGCGCCTTCACGCTGGCGCAGTTGGGCGCTGACCCTATTTGGCGCTGGTGCCATGGGGCGCTGGCGCCGTTGGCGCGGGCGCTTAAGGGGCTGGTGCCGGTGTCGCTCGCGCCTAAGGCGCTGGCGCCGTTCGCGCTGGCGTAGTTGGGCGCTGGCGCCGTTGGCGTGGGCACCTCAGGCGCTGGCGCGTGGCGCTGGTCCCATTGTCTCTGGCGCCTAAGGCGCTGGCGCCTTGGGCGCTCGCCCCGTTGGCGCTAGTGTCAAACTTATATGTTGCATGTTGTGTAGGCTGTAGTGGGGTAGCCCATATGGGGTACAACCCAATTAGGGTTAATACTTGTACCCATCCTGCTGCTAGTTCATTCATTCTCGCTTCGTTATTCTGACATGGTTTCAGAGCAGGTCCACCGAATCGCGCTACCCCATACGTCGCGCCGCCCTATTAGCGCAGCGCTGCCCTGCCCTGCCCTGCATCGCGCTGCCTCGCGCACGCCCTGCCCTGCGTCGCGCTGCCCGCGCACGCCCTGCCCTGCGTCGCGCCGCCCGCGCGCGCCCTGCCCTTCGTGGCGCCGCCCGCGCACGCCCTGCTCTGCCCGCGCGATGCTCGCCGCCGCGCCGCCGCCCTGCCCGCGCGCCGCTCGCCGCCGCGCGCCCTGCCTTGCCCGCGCGCCGCTCGCCGCCGCGCCGCAGCCCTGCCCGCACGCCGCTTGCCGCCGCGCCGCAGCCCTGCCCGCGCGCCGCTCGCCGCGCGCGCCCTGCCCTGCCCACGAGCCGCTCGCCGCCGCGCCGCCCTGCCCGCGCGCCGCTCGCCGCCGCGCCACCGCCCTGCCCGCGCGCCGCTCGCCGCCGCTCCGCCCTGCCCTTCCCGCGTGCCGCTCGCCGCCGCGCCTCCCTGCCCCGAACTGCCTGTGCGCCGCCCTGCTTTGTCCTGCCTGCGTGCTGCCCTGCTGCTAGCCCACCCAACTGCTTGGCCCGCTATGGCCACCCTCAGCGTCCTCACCTTCGATCCTGAGGGCCGCCCGATTGAGTTCGATGCGTGGCTCGATGACTTACAGATGTACTTACTGAGCAGCTCTAGGGACGGTGTTTCGCTGTTTGACCTCATGTCTGGAGCCTCTCTCGCCCCTTCCTCTCACAATGGCTTACCCGTGACTGTCAGAATGTTATAATTGTCTAGCCTGCAGTGGGGTACTCCATAGTGAGTACAGCCCAATTAGGGTTTGCTATATGTATCCAACTGCTTGCTAGTGAAACCTCTCTTTCTTGTTCTAAACTTTCTGCTCGTACTTCTGACATGGTTTCAGAGCAGGTCGACCCCCTTGGGTCGATCCTGTGGGTGGGCCCACCACCTAACTGCTTCCGCTGCTGTTCTGCTTCTCGCGCGCCTCGGGCGCGCGCCGTCTTCTTCCTGCCGTGCGCTCGGGGCGCGCGGCGGTTTTCTGCCCGCCGTGCGCCCCGAGGCGCGCGGCGGTTTTCTACACGGTGGATCCGCGCGCGCCCCCCCCGCCATCCCGTCGCCATTCGTGGCTCCCTCTCCCGTCGCCCGTCGTGGCGTCGCGGGGGCCGCGCGTCCCCCCCATCCCGTCGCCCGTCGAGGCGCCTAGGGGGCCGCGCGTCCCCCCCCCCTTCTGTCGCCCGTCGTGGCGCCACAGGGGCCGCGCGCCCCCCCCCCCCCCGTTCGCGTCGTCACGTCGCGACGCTCTGGGGAGCCGCGCGCGGCCCCCGATTCCCCGTCGCGCTGCCCTGAGGAGCCGCGCGCGACCCCCCACTGCCCCGTCGCGCCGCCCTGGGGAGCCGCGCGCGGCCCCCTGCTGCCCCGTGGTGGCGCCCTGGGGGCCGCGCGCCGTCCCCCCCGCCGTCCCCCGTGCTCCTACCCTTGCAACCCGTTTTAGGGTTTGGGGGTGAGGAGTGTGGGGGTGGCGGTTGTGGGGGTGCCCGTTGTGTGCGCCGTCCCCTACTCCTCCTCCTCCTCCGTCTCCCGCTGCTGCAGCTGCCGCTCAGGGGTGTGTGTGTGTGGGGAGCCGAAGGAGTGGTGCTAGGGGGGTGAAGGGGGAGTGGAGCTAGGGGTGAAGCAGGGGGTGTGTGTCAGGGGGGTGGGACTGTTTGGGGAGGCTGAGAGGAGGCTGCCGTCTTGTCGTCCGCAGCACCTGTAGTCCAGGGCGCTGTCCTGGTAGCCCAGAGAGCCTGCTGCGCCTGTCGCCCGTGGGTCCGTTGCTCCTGCCGCTCCTCGTAGCCGCCGAGCCAGTTACTCCAGTAGTCCAGGGCGCTGTCCCGGTAGCCACTGTGCCAGCCGCTCCTGTTGCCCGTGTGTCTGCAGCTTCAGCAGTCGTCTCCCATCTTCTCTCCTCTCACTGTCCCTCCTCCTCCTCACTTGCCCGCTGTGACTACCACTAGCTTTGCTTATAATTGTGAACTACTGCTATGCCTGCTGATTGTGCTGATTACACCCCACTTTAGCTATGGGGGTGTGTTAGAATGTTATAATTGTCTAGCCTGCAGTGGGGTACTCCATAGTGAGTACAGCCCAATTAGGGTTTGCTATATGTATCCAACTGCTTGCTAGTGAAACCTCTCTTTCTTGTTCTAAACTTTCTGCTCGTACTTCTGACAGTGACGCTGCTGCTCGCCTAGCCGTTCGCAACCACCTGCCATTAGCCGAACGCGCTCACTTTGGCCAGCACAAGACTGCTAGAGCCCTGTACGACGCTGTAGTCGCTCGTTACTCCTCCCCGGCCACTGCTGCTCTAGGCCGCCTTATACTGCCCTACCTGTTCCCCGAGCTGTCCGCCTTTGCCACAGTCGCCGACCTCGTCGCTCATCTTCGCACTAGTGACGTCCGCTACCGAGCCGCGCTTCCCGCCGAGTTTCTAGCCAAGAACCCCCCTCCCATGTGCATCACTCTCTACTTCATCGTCACCCGCCTCCCTGACTCTGTTAGCGCAGTCAGGGACCTCCTTCTCGCTCGTGACCCCACAGACCTCACTGTCGACTTGCTCGAGAAGCACCTCCTTGCAGCTGAGACTAGCATAGTTGCTGTAGGCGCTTCTCGTGGCACTCCTCGCACCCCCCTCTTTGAAGGGTGTTGCCCCTCCCCCCTTGTCCCCTCAGTCGCTTCTGCTGCTGCTGTGGACTACCTTCGTGCTGAGCAGGTAGGAGCTGCGTCTGCTCCTAGTGGGAGGCGCCGCAGCGGCAGGGGCAAGGGAGGCCAGGATGGTGGGGGTTGCAGCGGTAGAGGCGGTGGTGGGGGCGGTGGAGGCGGTGGAGGTGGCGGTGGTGGCGGTGGGAGTGGTGGTGGGAGTGGAGGCGTTGGTGGCGGCGGTGGTGGCGGCAATGGTGGCAGCAGTGGGGGTGGTGGCGGCGGCAGTGGTGGCGGCAGTGGGAGTGGTGGCAGGAGCAGTGGTGGCGGTCGGGGAGAGGTTCTGGCGATGGCCAGAGGCAGCAGCACCAGCGTCCGAGCGAGACCCCTTCACCCCAGCAGCTTCGTGAGTGGTTTGCTCAGCGTGGGGCATCTGGGGGTAGTGTTCGTTGCCCGTATGTCATTCGCACAGGTGGCCACACTGGTCAGACATGCGGGAAGCTTCACACCCAGTACCGCTGCTTCTCCCGTCTTGACGACTCCTTTCGCGCAGAGTTTCCCGACGCGACTGAGCTCCCCCGCTGGGCAGAGCTACTTAGCCAGGGTGTGGATATCTTTGCTCTTGATTATGATGCTATCCTTGCTGCCCTGTATGCATTGAGTGTTAGTGCTGAGGGTGACTGTTACCTGTGTGTGCCGCCCGACCTAGGTATAGAGGCTACTGCTCTAGGTGCTAGTGAGTCTGCTCTCTCTGGTACTGCGCCTGCTCAGGCCTTGCACACCTTCACGCTTGACTCAGGTGCTTCCCGCTGTTTCTTTCGCGACAGTACCACAGTCACACCTCTCCCTGCACCTGTTGCTGTCAGACTGGCTGACCCCTATGGGGGGCCCAGTTCTTGCCCGTTCCTCCACTGTTCTCCCGTGTCCGGCGGATCCGTCCGGCTCACTCTCAGGTCTTCACCTCCCCTCGTTCTCTACGAACTTGGTGAGTACCACTGCCCTCCAGGATGCGATGGTCACTACCACCACTCCTGGGGGTCAGCGTGTGTTGATCTGCACGTGTACACGGACGGGACGTCACCTGGCGACGTTCACCCGTCGGCCTGGGTCGAGTCTGTACACACTGACTACTGAGCCTCCTCAGATAGCTGCGTCAGCGTCCGCGTCAGGTCAGCTTGCAGCCCCTTGCTCGTGTCACGCCCTGTCGCACCAGACTCTCCTTTGGCACCACCGCCTTGGTCACCCCTCCCTGCCACGCATCCGTGGCATGCACTCTCGTCTCCTTGTCTCTGGTCTTCCCAGGTCTCTGCCTCCCCTCCCACCCTTGCCTGCCCCTCCCTGCCTTCCCTGTGTCGAGGGGCGGCAGCGCGCCACTCCTCACTCCTCCTCGTTTCCCCCGACGACTGCTCCCCTGCAGACTCTCCACATGGACGTGTGGGGCCCAGCTCGCGTCCGTGGGCAGGGCCGCAAGCGATACTTTCTGCTGGTTGTTGACGACTACTCGCGTTACACCACGGTCTTCCCCTTGCGCAGCAAGGGGGAGGTCCCTGATGTTTTGATTTCTTGGATCCGCGATGTCCGTCTCCAGCTCCGCGAGCGGTTCGACACGGACCTTCCAGTCCTGCGTCTACACTCTGACAGAGGTGGTGAGTTCGCCTCCGACCTCTTGCGGGACTTTTGTCGTGGGGAGGGCATTCGCCAGTCATTCACGCTTCCGGCCTCTCCGGTGCAGAATGGGGTTGCTGAGCGCCGCATTGTTTTAGTCATGGAGGTCACTCGTACCTCCATGATCCATGCGGCTGCCCCCCATTTTCAGTGGCCGTTTGCGGTCCGGTACGCTGCGCATCAGCTCAACCTCTGGCCCCGTGTCTCCTTGCCGGAGACCTCGCCGACACTGCGTTGGACGGGAGAGGTTGGCGATGCGTCGGTGTTCCGGGTCTGGGGATCTCATGCCTTTGTCCGCGATACCTCCGCGGACAAGCTCTCCTCCCGCGCCATTCCCTGCGTCTTCCTTGGCTTTCCCCCTGACGCGCCTGGCTGGCAGTTTTACCACCCCACCTCGCGCCGT